ATTTTCTAATTGAAAAGCAGCTGGGCCTAAAAGTGTATAGCATGAAAAATTATTTAGCAGATGCAATATGTAAGCAGTCAAATCTGTCAGTAAATAGATGTTACATGTTGTTAGGCATGCCTGCTATATTATACAGTTACCAGTTAAACGTTCTTGTATTACGAAACAACTTACAACTTTTAGTCAGCCACCTCCCTTCTTGTCATTTTTGCCTTACCCCGCAGGAGATGGGACTAGCTTGTAGCTAACTATAAACTAACTAGCAGTCGACTAGTGGTAACTAATTATTAACTATTTCCTTTGGCCCTAACTAACTACTTTTGAAGGGCGATGGCCGCAAAACATTGACTACAGGTTTCCTCTGCATTAGATGTAAATTAATTTGTAGCTAACTACTTTTGGACATAAAGTATCAATAAAATAAGATTTTTTATAATTTTTTATTTTTTATTTTTTTACTTATTGTTTATTTAATACATATTTGCTTATTTGGTTACATGTTCTTTTTAAATTCCATCAGATGTAAAATCAAAACAAGTAATTTTTAGCAAAAAAAAAACCGACTTCAACTCTCATAAAAAAAAATATAAACATATATATCTCATGATCCACTGATCGGATCTTAACCAGACTTTTTTCCGATACCTACTCAGTACTCGGTTCAAAACTATCGAGTATAAAATTACTTGGTAAGTATCGAGTATGTACTTGTATTTACTAGTATCGTTTCATCCCTATTTCCGACTCGTTTCGGTGAACAATTTGTCCGCCGGTGACGGTCGCAAACGACTCGCCGTCGGATGAAAAGCACAGTTCGCCGGCGGCCCGCAAAAAGGACTCATCGGCGAGTCGCGAAAACGACTTACCGGTGGGTCGCAAAAACGACTCCCCTGCAGACCGTAAAAACGATATACCAGCAAACTGCCAAACGATGCTCAAAATTTATACCAAATTTGAAGTCAAAGTACAGTTTTATACCAAATTTAAAAAAACCTCATACCCACAAATTTTACTTTTTATTACTAAGGCCAATATAGTGAACTGAACCTTTATAAAAAAAATAAAAAATCAAAAAATTTGATGTGAAGAATATTATGAATACTGAAAAAAAGATGTAGACGGCTTAATTTTCTGAGTACAAGTGTACATTGTGGATTCCAAATTCTGTCATAATAAACAATTGTCATAATAAAAGCGGTTTACTATCCAAATGAACGACTTTTATTTATATATAGATAAATAATAATGTGGGCGTGGAACTTGTCCAACCCAGACCGAAGGTTCCTCAAAAAACTTGTGGGTTCGAAGAAACTGATTCGTTTCGAGTTCACCCAAACCACTTCACCAGACCAACGTTCCAACGACTTCGATTCGATGAGAAAAACGACGTCGGAACGACGTTGAATTTTGTATGGTAAAACCGACCTCGTTTCGAGTTCACCCAAACGACTTCACCAGAGCAACGTCGTTTCGAGTTCCGCCAGAGCGACGTCGAAACGGCGTCGTCTTCGCCCTGTGGCAAATTGGGCAAATATCGAAAAAAAAAGTAATAATTTGATTTCGTTTGATACACTTAGCGGGAAACCATTTCGTGCCTTATGTTGTTTGTGGTCATTTGAAGAGGGTGCCACAAATGTAAGGTACCCAGGTGTACAAGAGTTCTCCCTTCGCTACTGTCGTACGTCACAAGTGTGCGTTTTTTTCGATTTTTTTTTTCTTGTGTGTTTTATAAGAAAAACGACAAGAAAACGCAGTCACTGTCACACGTGCGTATGAAACAAATACAAAAACGCATACAAAAATTTGTACATCCCATTATATTTCAAGGCAAGCAAGAGAAGAGCAACCACTCTTGCAGTAGCCAATGGTATATGGCGGCTCTTGTGTGATTGAATGGCAGTTTTCGTTAGGGTCAAAGGGTACTACATAGCTTTCACTCGATCTTCCGGTTGACTTTTATAGCGTACCTTCAGCTCCGATTCTGTCACAGTGCAGTCGTCTTACGCTCATTCTACATACGTACATATGTACATACAAATATCTGATACTATAATTTCTCGCGCGCAGCTGGTGGCTCAAATAGTCGCAGAAGAATAGAGCGCGTTCTTTTAGCCGAGTTTTGTAGACGCTTAAAGACTATCAGTGTGATGGCATGTCATTAAAAGCGACGAGTTTCTGATACTAAGTAAGACCACATGAGCAGCACATACAAATTTAAATACCTGTGTAGGAATGTATGTATGAATTTATGTGCCTTATTCTTTACTTTTTTCGTTTATTATATGTAATTTCTTACAGCTCGTGCGCGCGCACTTAATTTTCCTCCGCCGCTAGACGACACCTTAAGGTGCACATATGCGGTTTCCGAGCGCTATAGGCGCGCAATTTTCGGCTTCATGATGCCCACATGCTCTCTTACCCGTTTATTGTCAATGCTAATGATCGAACGCATGCGCAATAACAATTTCATATGTAACGTATTTTCAACACGTGAAAAATAAAACGGGAAGATACACTCAAGAAAAATAGCAACTACATATCGCATTTTAAGGAAGTCACCAGATAATTGTGGAAGTACAACAGCAGAGAAAAGCAAAAAAAAAAAAAAAAAAAAATGCCGTTAAGCATCGGTAAACATTTGATTACGATTGTTAAGTTGGAAAAATTAGGAAGAACCATAAAGTTCGAGAAGTGGCGGCTAAAAAGGTGTGCACACACATATTTATGGTAACACATGCGCACACATACGTACAATGTAAATATGTATGTACCTAAAGATATACATATGTACAAGATAACGTCTAGTCGAGTTTTTGCACAGGCATCCATGGCATACCTACATATATGTACCAGCGCCCAACATTAAAGGGTAAAGCATTGTTTTCATTATCAGTCGTTAGTTAAGTTTCGTAAAGCTTGGGAAAATCTTTTTTGTGTCATGCGGGTGGAGCTACGCTGCGCTAATCGAGCCAAAACCTTTTAGCCGTGGGAAGTTGCAGACGAAGTCATGCGTCGAATAGCGGCGGGTTACACTAAGGAGATTACTGCATATACACATATATGAACATATAAATAATGCATATGTATTTTGGAAATTTTGCGTACCTAAAATGAAACTTATTACTTAAAGAGGTATGCACCGCGACCTAGTGGGTCTATTGTGCCATCCTGTCATCAAAACACATCTTTTATTCATAAAGTCCAGGAGAGCTTGTGGAAGTAGAGACATTGGGTCTTTGCTGTTCATTAGTCGCCTCGATATGGCATTAAATTCAAGGAGAAGGTGCAATGGTGTCTATAGAGTTGAATTGCAGAGACGCCAGAGATCGTTCGCCCAGCTTATGCCGTACCTAATGCAGTATTTTCGTAGCAGAAACTGTCGTTGGACCCAGGGAAACCGGGTGGTTAACTGCCTCGTAAACTGGACACTCTGGACTTCAGTAGGGCTCTAATTTTATCTCTGATCAGACAGATTAATGCGCCGCAGAAATGGCTCCCATAGCTCCTTCACTGCCTACATTTCCTCAAGGAATCCCCCTCAGTCCGGGTGTGGTGGGGTGACTGGTGGAAGTGAGCAGTAAACTTCTTGAAGAATGGATCAAAATATGGAGACGGGTTTGGTGCAGCTGTCTTTTGCCGGGAGGTCTCCATCAAAATTATGTTTAGGCGTCCGTACTTCGCCAGTGTCTTTCAGGCGGAAATAGCTGCCATCAATTAAGCGGTATCATCTCGCCATCAACGTTAACATCAGGTGGAATTATTTCAATTTTTACAACCCTGGAGGAGCTCTCTGTCATTCAAATTAGCCGCATTCGTAATTTCTTAATTGGGTCGCGGCTCGCCGACTGAATAACTGGTCTCCGTTCAGCTTCAAGCCTCCCAGGCATTGACTGTGGCAACGATGACCAAAGTTAGGAGGGCTTAATCAAGACTTTCGCTGTCTAAATAGTCTTGAAGTAGTTAGGAAGCAGGTCAAAGCCTTTAGTGAAGCTTGGATTTAACTATATACACGTCAATTCCTGTCACTCCATCTATTTTTCACAACGAAGTCCATAACATTCAGGATTACATATACCTCACCTTGGAATACCGAAGTATATTCCCAAGAAAAGAATAAGATTGTCCCCATTATCTTCGATATAGACGCCACATTTGCATACACGCGCACTTTTTTACCAATACACCCACACATTGCAAATTGCCTATCATCAATTTTTTTTTCAACACGATAAGTAATTTCTCGTTCTATTTCAACAGCTGATCGATCATAGCTTTGGGAAGTTAGTTTTTGTTTGCAGAAAATTTTCTGCTTAATAAAATATAGAAAAAAACAAAGAAATCGTATACGTGCGAACAAAGTGAAAGCAATGTTTTGAACGTGTAAACATAAATTAAGCGAACAAATTTTAGTGCTCAATTCGGTTGTATTTTCAAAACATTTTTGCCTACCAAACCATCATCAAACCAACCAAGCTACCAAAGGAGAATCAACCTACCAATTTTGGTCCAATTGGACCAAAACGGCAACGCTGCATACAATGTCTGTGTAAGCCCGCAGCTCAGTTTTGGGAATTAGGCCAGCACTCAGACTCAGGGAACTCAACATTTTAGGATCTCGTCAGGCAAACCAATGGTGGCGAATCATTATGTGGCTATTAAACAGCAACAACGTCTAGATCTCTGCCTCCAACAGTTTCCCCTTCAGCCTAGAATTAGCCTTAAGAGCCTGCTGCGGATAAGAGCTGCCTTTCAAAATTCCGCTATCATTTTTTTTTTTCTCTCAAGCAAATCTATATTTGTTTTATAAATAAATAAATTATTAANTTTCAGCCTAGAATTAGCCTTAAGAGCCTGATGCGGATAAAAGCTGCCTTTCAAAATTCCGCTATCATTTTTTTTTCTCTCAAGCAAATCTATATTTGTTTTATAAATAAATAAATTATTAATAATAAATAATTAAATAAATAAGTAATAAATATAAATTAATTATAGCGATGAAATTTAAATACTGCAAACATCAAAACTTAAGCTGGTATACTAAAGTTTATGCGCTTCCTCCTGCCATAGGGGCTTTCCTTTGGGGCTTCTTCTTCACCGTCGGCACTTCGCCCGAGCAGACCCCAGAATGGTCGCGGCGTAGTTTTTTGGTGTATGATGATGCAATTGACATCTCTGTCATCGTTAGGTGTGCCTGTACGGGTATAGGTTTCGGTTTCTTCAAAACTATTTGTTCCTTTGTCAACATTGTGTAAGTTATCCAACTGATTTTCTTTTATATCGCGATTCTTTAGATTTTGCTTCCGGCGACGAAGAGAAGTATTTTGACTTGAAGGTCGAAGAGGTCTCTTGTTGGGACGTTGTTGAGAAGGCCTTTGAGATGGTCTTTTCGATGGTCTCTTCGATGGCCTTTTTGAAGGTCTTTTCGATGGTCTCTTAGAAGGCTTAGGTTTTGGTTTTGCCGCAGCTTCAGCCACTGATTCAGGTTTCGGCTCAGGTTCGGGTGCAGGTTCAGGAGCAGGTTGGGGTGCAGGTGCGGCCTCAGCTTCCGGCTCAGGCTGCCCTTGGGGCTCAGGTGCAGATTCCTCAATTTCGTTTTCGGACTCGATATTATTCTCGGGTTCTGGCGCAGCACCCTCCTCTTCCTCACCATCACCTTCCACCTCACCCTCGTCAAAAGCGTCTGGGTAGTTAACATCACCACCGCTATAAGGTAGCGCATTATCATCTCCAGTTGACCAAATGCCTGTGGTGCTTATTGGACTAACTTCTTCCTCATAAAGTAGCTCATCATAGTCATCGTCTGCGTCGTCGGTAAGTTCTCCACCATCGATGTAATCATTCTCAACGGGCCTCAGCTCAAACACTGCATGTGTCTGGGGATTAACCTTAGGCGGAGTGTCCGCATGTACAATGAGGATACCATTGTCACCAGTAGAAGCGGCGCCCACAGCTGATTGAGCGCCATTTGCGTGTGTAAATTGTGCTACAACAGGCAAACTGAGCACGGCTTCTTCTTCGCTTTCCTCATCTTCAGTCGGAATGACATTCTGTACGGGCTTTGTCTGTTGTCTAGTATTTTTGTCATTACCAATGGGTACTCCAACAACAGCAATGGGCTCGTCAGCCTTGATATCGTTATCTTCATCAATGGAGACTGCGGTGTCTATACCTGATGGCAAGGTGTAGGAAGCTGTCTCAATGCCATCGTTTTCGACTGTTTGGCCATAGTTGAAAGAGCGTTTGCGTCGACGTCGCTCCACGCATTGCCGACGACCACCGTTCAATTGACGTCCCTCAATGAAAAAGCGCTTAACTTCAATTTCATTACCATCGGCATCAATCTCAGAGAATGTTTCAGCTGAAAGTGGATATATGGAAAAGGACGAATTAATTAAAATGTTTTAGGATAAATTTAATATTTTTATTTTTGGGAAATAAGTAGGGATTAGGAGGATGGTTCCGTGCGCAGAAGTGGAAAACATTTGACTGCCATTCACCTGGGAGGGACTTGGCTTCACTTGGCATTTTCAATTGGCGTCAGTTAGCACAGAAGAGAAATGACTGGCGTGCTGTTTTGGACTCGGCCAAAATCGCTTAGGCGGTTACAGCGCCAAAT